TCCCGGGCTTCATTTGCAACTCCGGTCGCCTGCTTTGCCTACCTAGCTCGAATTAATGAGCTAGTGTAGACATACCTTGAGGGGTTAACAAGCATGTGGACAAGGGGGATCCAGTGGATCTAGCATACTGAGATTTCCAGAAAGTATTTGAGGAAGTCCTTCACCAAAAGCTCTTATGTAAAGTGACCTTTCACGGAAAAGGAGTCAAGGTTCCATCATATCTCGGTAAATGATTAAGAGGTAGGAAGCAAAGGGTAGGAATAAAGGGTCATTTTCAGACAGGACAATGGTGACTAGTGGTGTCCCGCAGGGGTCCACACTGGGGCCAGTGCTAGTCAATCTATTCATAAATAATCTAGACAAAAAGCTAAATGGTGAGGAGGCAAAATTTGCAGGGGATACTAGAGCACTCAGCTGAACCCAGAGCAAAGTGCAAAGAATGACAAAGGGGCCTGACAGAACTGGGCGTCCGAGGGACAAAATGGCGGATAACATTCCGCGTTGATAACTACAACGTAATGGGCATCGTAAAATGTCATCCCGACTGTACATGCAAAGTGCTGAAAGGTCCAAAAAGCATCGTGCCTGATCTGAACCAGAGGGCTAAAGACAGTGACGTGGCACCCCAACCTTGTCCTGCTCCCATTCACACCTCACCTGGCCCTGAGTCTGCACGTTACCTGATGTGACCGAGGGACAATAATTATTGTCCAGTTATTTTCAATTCCTTGCAGTGGGCCTGGGAATGCCAAGCCCGGGACCAGGGGTGAGGGATGGGTTTGTGTGCCTGAGCCTAGGCAGTGCTCCCCAATAACGGACACACGTGACTAATATCCCAAGGCCGTGTGTTTGAATGACATTGGACCGCCGAATGTCCTCAGAAGTCACCAGGACAGGGATTTCGCTCTGTCAAAAGTGCCCTCAAAACTGCAGCAGACTCCGCGTGATGAGAAACAGTGGGCAGGTGCCCGGCCAGGTTTATTGTAAGTGAAGCCCGGTCTATAGTACCCTGGAGCAGACGTCCACAGTTCTGCTGGTACCCGAGTGCCCCCGACAATGGACTCAATACAGGCAGTGGCAGGGTTTCCCGCTGCCCCATGGGCTGGACAAGGACAGCCCCTCTGAGATCCATGGAGATGCCCAGATACAGACCAGATAAGCCTCAGTGCTGACGTGTCAGGATGCTGACGTTGTTAGATGCCACTGTATAGAGTTAAAATTCTCTGAAACACCATCTTGGGCACAGGCGCCATTTTGAGAGCCTAAACAACAACAGGGACTCCATTTTGGCCACCCTTCTTCTCCCTCCTTTTCCTGCTCTTTCTGTGTTTTGGCGGGAAACCCAGCAGACATGTTATCATAGTCTGCCTGGTAACAGCAAGGTACTTAGAGGATGCCTCTGGCTTTACCTGGGGCTGCCCATCTGAGCGGCAGCGTGCAGGAGTCATTCAGACGGGTCCACCAGGGTCCACACATATTAGGTATCGGCGTTGTGGGAGATACACTCACATGCTGGGAGTGATATCCATCATCACTCCTCTCTGCCTAGAACACACTTGCACCCACGACGGCGCAGGGAAGAAGGGTTTCTTAGGCTGAACAGATCCAGCCGAGGGAGGTTCCTGCTGTTCCGATCCTGCTGCTGTTCCAGACGACTGAGACCAAATCTGGAATCCAGATTCTAGGCATTGTCTGGAGGCTCTCAAGCTGCGAGATGTGGTATTGTCCCTGTGACATTCTTTCTCCAGTCACCTGGGTTCTTATTTTGTTCTATTTGCTGTGTGGGGTCCTATCTTATTCCTGTTTTAATTACCTTTTTTGTTGCTTAATAAATCCTTGTTAGTTCACCTCTACTGTCTGTCCTAGTCCTTGAGGAACTCCCAATGATAGATGTGGGTTTGGGATGGGCCTGAAAGCCAGCTTAGGTTGAAATCATTAATTTGCTGGTTAAGAACTCAGTAACTTGTACATGGGAATTGGACCAAAACATCTCTGTCCATCATACTGTCATGCTGGTCCTGTCCTGAACCAGGGTGTGTCAAGGCTATTCCTCACTCTAGCATGATGAATGCAGAAGTGGGGAACCACAAAAGCAACCTAAAATCTGAACTCCATGGGCTTTGGTACAAAACTTCCCCCAAAATCCTAATACTTGGACTTTGGGAAATAAAAAAAAATTGCTGCCACCACCCAAGTATTACGAGAAAAACCAGGGAAGAGATCACTTGGGAAATCTCAGCCCTAAAATAAAGGCAAGACACAAAAATTAACCAATACCATGTTAAATGGAAAAGAAAGAACGTTTATTATCAGAACAAGACCCCAGTTACAATCATAGTATGAATGGCTAGATGGTAAGAGCCACCAATTAATATACTCACGGAGGATTCCCTCATGGGCCAAAACTTAGTTACAAAAGAGAGGAAAAAGCGTTTCTAACAGCACAGACATCAGATCCAAATTCCCAAACTAGAAAACAATAAAACCTGATGAATTTATCTAGACTTGACCCTATTTACACATTAGAAGAGTCTTTTTCTTAGAGAGAGACCTGTCTTCTGTCTGCCTCGGTATCCAGAGAGCAAACTGGCTCAGAGACAAAAGGAAGGAAAAGTTAAAAATTCCTTGTCTCAGTTTGAAATTCCTACTTCCCTTACCACTGGCTGACCAGATACCTGGCTAGGCTAACCCCTTAATTCCCAAGCTGTTGTTCACCGTCATGGTTATGACAGGGTGTCCCTCTTATCTGTGGGGAGTGTGTTGGTCCCAAGATGTTTCTCAGCCAGGTGTTCTGGTGCCACCCCTCTGGACGGTGTTTTCGGCCTGTGCCTAGTACCTGTGAGGTACGGGTGTTTCTGCAATATCAGCCCAGATCCTGCTGGATTTGGTGAGCCGGGCCTGCCTCTTGTTTAGAGCTCAAGTTTGCTTTGTAGCAGGAAAATTGTGTCTACTTTCAGCTAGGCCTCAGCCTCAACCAAGGCCTGTGAGACATCACCATATGTTTCAGCCTCTTTTGTTACTACAGCTACCAAGCAAATACCCACCCTCCATATAAAACCCACACCATGGTGGTGTCACCGTGGAGCGTTCATAGAAACACATCGACTTGGGGTGAAGCGGCGGCAAAAACAAAATTGTCTAGAGCTTGGGAGGTGTTAAGAAAGGGACAGCGAACACACCAGAAATGATCGGATCTCGTGGCCTCTGTTGGAAGCCGGGATACCCCCACACCTTGAAACTTGCATAAATAGTGAATAGGAAAGGGGCCGAGAATGGCAACGATCAGGGTATGAAACAGCCTCTCTATTAGGAGAGATCAAAGAGACTGGGACTGCTCAGCTCAGAGCAGACGATGGGGGGGATATGACAGGGTATGTCCGAACTACTGTTACTCCTCGTGAAGCCTAGTCCGAACTACCTAGTTCGTGCCGCGTGTAGCCGCGCGGCACGGAGTCCGCACTAGCGGACATTTAAAAATGGCGGCGCCTGGATTTATGCAAATGAAGCCCGGGAAATTCAAATCCCGGGCTTCATTTGCATTAGGGTATGTCTACACTACCACCCTAGTTCGAACTAGGGTGGTAGTGTAGACATACCCACAGAGATCTATAAACCCATGACTGGCGTGGAGGAGGCACATAAGGCAGTGGTACGTCTTCCTCCGCCTCATAACACAAGCACTAGGGGTTGCCAAATGAAATTAGTAGCTCACAGGTTTAAAACAAGCCAAGGAAGGATTTCCAGAGGGGAGGGGAAGGCAGAGCGCCCCGTGCGGTGCTCTAGAAGAAGCTGTTCGGTCGGAGCACTTGGCTACAGGGATGCAGGGGAGCTCCCATCTTTGCTCCAGGCTTCCTGCCATGGTCAGCAGCAAGCCCCAGCCCTGAGGGCTTCCCTCCCTCACCATTTCAGAGGGGTGTGAGGGGCTGCAACCACACGTACCAGCTCCCTGTTGCTTTTCCTGCTTCCCTTGCCTAGGGAGTGAGAAGAAGCACCACGCCTGCTGCCTCCCTTCTCTGCTTCACCCTCTTCCCCAAGCCTTTCCTCACCCCTGCTCCTGACTCCTGCCCCTGCTAGATCTCCTCACCCCCAAGCTCCTGCCCTGACTCCTGCTACACCCCTCCACATCCCCCCTGCCCTGAGTCCCCAGCCACCAAGGGGGGGAAGCCGCTCTGTGGAGGATGTGGGGGGAGCTGCACTCAAGATTTCAGGGTTACAGGGGATTACCCAGAGCAGTAGGGGCCAGGAGCAGGAAAGGGAGGCAGCAGAGGCTGTGGGGGGCTGGGCCCACTTTGCACTCACTGACAGCAGCTGGGTGCTGAGCAGGCAGCAGAGGTTGGGGGAAGGGTGCACTTGGGTTGGGGAAGGGCAGTGATAGGATGGGGGGGGCAGTTATTCTAGGTCTTGCACTCCCCTATAGAAGTGGCTTCCCAGGCTAAAACCTGTGGTTGGGCTGGCTGGGGGGTGGGACTGGCTCCTGGAGCTGGCAATGGCACACACACAATGGGCAGCTACGTAGGGCACTATGAAGGTTGGTGCCCTTTAGTGGCACCCTACCCAGCTGTACATTTGTGTATTGGGAGGGACAGTCCTGGATCCACCACGACACTTGGGACATTGCTCCCTGGGTCAGCGTCCCTGGCCGTTCAAAACGTTCCCCTCACGTCCTGGCTGAATTTGTCTGGGTGCAACTTCTGTTCCCTGGCTCATGTTAGACCTTCTTCAGCTGGACTGAAGAGCCCCTTGTTCAATATTCGTTCCCGTCTGGATACGGATAGCCTGGGATCAAGTCACTTTCTCTTTGTTCAGCTACACGGATTTAGCCCCTAGATCTCTCGGCTCTTGTTATGAAGCAGGTTTTCTAATCCAGAAAAAGGAGGCCCAGAATTCACTTGCCATAAAGCACAATTTTGGGGCCAAAAAGAAACTATTAGTTCCAGTGCACAGAATTCTTCCTCCAGGCAATATCAACATTCCGGGCCCTGCATCCCCAAAAATTGGCCCTACTGGGTGCAACTCCTGGTGGGGAGGGCTGGAGGGATGGGGCTAGTCGTCTGGTTCCGCTCCAAGTGATCGGTGGTGTGGGGGTTGCGAGCACGTTGTCGGTATCTCAGAAACTCTTCCTCCATGGTGAGGTAGAAGATGGGGTTGAGGCAGCTGTTGACGTATGTCAGGACGTAAGTAAATGCGCAGCCTATTTCCAGAAAAGGCCGAGAGGGCATAGCTGAGAGCTGCATGAAGAAGAAGACGTGATACGGCAGCCAGCACAGGATAAAGGTCGGGATCAAGCCGAGAAGGATCTTGAGCGGCTGGGTGGCCTGGATCAGCCGGTTCCTTCCCCGCCTGGCAGTGTGAACGACGCAGAAGGTTGGGATCACACTCAAGGCTAATGGGATGAGAAACCCAGTCAGGAACTGGATTGCGATGGCGGCCTTCGCCCTCTCTAGATCCATTTGGAAACTCATTCTTGTGCTAGGAGGTGAGAAGAGGGATTCCCAGAGGTCACTGTACCTCCAGCTGAACCCAACAGACAGGACTAGTGTGCCCAGAGACACCCAGCGGGCCAGGGAGGCCGTGCAGCATTTCTGGGCCCACTCAGGCCGTGCCACGAGGATGCAGCGATGGACGCTGATGTCCATGAGGAGGAAGGCGCTGGAGAACATGTGCATGGAGGTGATGGAGCTGCTCAGCCTCCAGGCCCAGTCTACATGCCGAGAGAAGATGAGGATGAATCTGAGGGTCAGGCAGAAGATGAAAATGAAATCGCACATGGCCCGGTTCAGGAACCAAATGGCGCTGGCCGTCCAGTAGCCATTCAATGGTAGCCCAGCGAGGAAGGCCAAACCATAGAGCACCAGGATGTAGTTTGGGAGGAATTCCATTCTCAGAGGAGCTGCTGACACAATATGGCCCCCTTCTCCTCAGGGCTGGGCGGGGGCGGGGCAGATGCTGGGCTGTCGAGAGGAAGGGAGAGCAGTGAAAAGGGCTGCAGGACAGGGACAGAGACAGAGGCAGCGTTTCTAAACTCCCAGTCCCTGGGCTGAGCTGAGGTGGGATCGAATCCTTGTGGGCCGATGGCTCCAGTGGTACAAAGCCCTTAGATGCATCGAACCGCAGGGTGAGCAGGGGACCGAAAGGGTCGACTCAGGGTTGCTGCTGAGATGCAGGGTTTGTTTCCTCTGTACCCAGCCCCAACGGGTTTTGGTTTTACATTGGCGGGAGGGGTGGTTTACAAGCCCAGTTTCAGGAAACTACTTTAGCTTCTTTCTGATCATTTGTGTTTCGAAGCCAGGGGAGGGGCGAGTTGCTCAGATGCAGAGACAGAGCTCTGGAGACCTCCCTCCCCCCCCGAGCCTCGCTTAGCCCTGGCCCACACTATGGACAATCATAGAATCATAGAATACTAGGACTGGAAGGGATCTCGAGAGGTCATCGAGTCCAGCCCCCTGCCCTCATGGCAGGACCAAATACTGTCTAGACCATCCCCGATAGACATTTATCTAACCTACTCTTAAATATCTCCACAGATGGGGATTCCACAACCTCCCTGGGCAATTTATTCCAGTGTTTGACTACCCTGACAGTTAGGAACTTTTTCCTAATGTCCAACCTAAACCTCCCTTGCTGCAGTTTAAGCCCATTGCTTCTTGTTCGATCCTAGCCACCCTGACAGTTAGGAAGTTTTTCCTAATGTTCAACCTAAACCTCCTTTGCTGCAGTTTAAGCCCATTGCTTCTTGTTCTATCTTCAGAGACCAGGAAGAACAAGTTTTCTCCCTCCTCCTTGTGACACCCTTTTAGATACTTGAAAACGGCGATCATGTCTCGTTTCAATCTTCTCTTTTCCAAACTAAACAAGCCCAAATCTTTCAGTCTTCCTTCATAGGTCATGTTCTCTAGACCTTTAATCATTTTTGTTGCTCTTCTCTGGACCCTCTCCAATTTCTCCACATCTTTCTTGAAATGCGTTGCCCAGAACTGGACACAATACTCCAATAGAGGCCTAACCAGCGCAGAGTAGAGCGGAAGAATGACTTCTCGTGTCTTGCTCACAACACACCTGTTAATGAATCGCAGAATCATGTTTGCTTTTTCTGCAACAGCATCACACTGCTGACTCATATTCAGCTCCTGGTCTACTATAACCCCTAGATCTCTTTCTGCCGTACTCCTTCCTAGACAGTCGCTTCCCATTCTGTATGTGTGAAACTGATTGTTCCTTCCTAAGTGGAGCACTTTGCATTTGTCTTTATTAAACTTCATCCTGTTTACCTCAGACCATTTCTCCAATTTGTCCAGGTCATTTTGAATTATGACCCTATCCTCCAGAGCAGTCGCAACCCTCCCAGTCTGGTATCATCTGCACACTTAATAAGCGTACTTTCTATGACAATATCTAAATCATTGATGAAGATATTGAACTGAGCTGGTCCCAAAACAGACCCCTGTGGAACCCCACTTGTTATACCTTTCCAGCAGGATTGTGAACCATTAATAACTACTCTCTGAGTACAGTTATCCAGCTAGTTATGCACCCACCTTATAGCAGCCCCATTTAAGTTGTATTTGCCTAGTTTATTGATAAAAATATCATGCAAGACCGTATCAAATGCCTTACTAAATTCTAAGTATACCACATCCACCGCTTCTCCTTTATCCACAAGACTCGTTATCCTATCAAAGAAATCTATCAGATTGGTTTGACATGATTTATTCTTTACAAATCCATGCTGGCTGTTCCCTATCACCTTGACATCTTCCAAGTGTATGCAGATGATTTCCTTAATTACTTGCTCCATTATCTTCCCTGGCACAGAAGTTAAACTAACTGGTCTGTAGTTTCCTGGGTTGTTCTTATTCCCCTTTTTATAGATGGGTACTATATTTGCCCTTTTCCAGTCTTCTGGAATCTCTCCTGTCTCCCATGATTTTCCAAAGATGATAGCTAGAGGCTCAGGTACAGGATGCATTTCACCAGGCCCTGGTGACTTGCAGGCATCTAACTTTTCTAGGTGATTTTTAACTTGTTCTTTTTTTATTTTATCTTCTAAACCTACCTCCTTCCCACTAGCATTTACTATGTTAGGCATTCCTTCATCAGACTTCTCAGTGAAGAACGAAACAAAGAAGTCATTAAGCATCTCTGCCATTTCCAAGTTTCCTGTTACTGTTTCTCCTCCTCACTGACCAGCGGGCCTACCCTGTCCTAGGTCGAATTCAGCCATGTTCAGCGGCTTCAGCTCTGTTCATCGTTACTCGGCTTTTCGCTCCCTTCGACATCCCTTACGCCTCGTAGGAGCAGTGCTACCGCCCTCGAGCAGAGCGCTCCTCTCACGGGCTTCACTAGACCGGCTGAATTGAACCCCGGCAGTTTAACAGCAACAGGTTCGATCTCTGTCATGTAGACATGGCCTAAGAGTCCCAAATTCTCTCTTTTTGCTGTTGATTTCCCAAATGGGCTGGCAACTCTCTCTCTCTCTCTCTCTCTCTCTCTCTCTCTCTTTTTTTGAGAATTTAACCAGTGACCAATCCTCCCTCTCCCCCTGTCCTTTAAAAAAAAAAGGGGGGGATTTCCCGGCTTTCAACAACACTGACAACAAACAAGCCCCCGGGCAGTGCACAGAGGAAAGGGGAGGCCTCTAATGCCTTTTGTCTAATGAAAGGCTGTGGCAAGAGACAATTTGAGTGGCTGGACAGGGAGTCAGGACTCCTGGGTCCATCCCAGACTCTGCCACTGAACCACTCAGGGAGCTTGGCCCAGTCATGTCACAGCCTTGGGCCTCAGTTTCCCCTCCAAACATTTGCTTGTGCAGCACCCCTTGAGATGGGACCCCTGAGCTCACACAGTGTCACTCAACACCCAGCGGGACGGGGTCTCATGACCTTTCACCAGAGGAGGCAACTAATGTCAACTGTCTCTAGCCAGTGGGATGAGAGGAGTGGAGGGGGCAGGAGAACGGAGGAGATTCAGGGGACTGCGGGGGGCGGAGAGGGCAGAATGACACCCTGTGGGGCAGCTGGAGGGTTTCCCTAATTTCCTTACCTGTGACTTGAGGGAACGCAGCGTCTCCGAGTCGAGCCCGGTCCCAGGTCCCCCACACGACTCCTGCAGCTCACCCGGACTGGCTTAGCAGGAAGCCGTGTGTGTGGGTGTATCTGGGAGGGTGAACAATGTGGGGAGACCACAGGATGTAGCTGGTACAATCACTTCTGCAAAGCCTGGAAGGCCTCCAATGGCCATGGCTCCATGCAGCTGTCACATGAATCACAAGCCCACAGCGAGTGTGCCAGGGAGCCAGCAGAGATCAGGGACGGAGACCAACATGTCCAGCCAGCTCCACCAGGTGAGGTCCCAGGAGCAGAGACCCCAGCTGGGACTTTGCCTCCTCCAGTTCCCTCCAGGCTGCGGAAGGAGACCAGAGCTTGGCTGGGATTCGGCTACATGAGATCTGAACCCGGCCTCTGCTGCAGGGACCTTTCCCGTGGCCCACCCAGTGCTAAGGAAACCCTCATGCAAGGCTAGAGATCACACAAACCACAGCTCAGGATTAATGGCCAGGATCCCAACCCCTATATCCCTGTTATGCCTGCTCCCCTTCCCCCGCACTCTGACTTCGCCCTGCACCTGGGAGTGGGGAACTGCAGTTGTGCATTGCAGTGCACACGGATTGTTACTCGTTGTTCTGAATTCATGTGCCTAGTGAGGAATCCATTTCGCAAACACCAGTTCCTCAGTCTCATTTGGTTTCTGTTTTGTCACATGCTCGCTGACAGGTGTTGCAAAAATAATGATTGAAATTGGGATTATATTGTGTTAGTTTGACAAATAAATTATGTGGAATTTTGGAGAAATTTTAAAATATTATACGCAGCAGGTTTGATTGTTTTTTTGTAGAATTTTTAATTTTTCAAGCAGAATTCCCCTGCCAGGTGTTTACTCTGCTCTATGCAATATATTCCACAATGGCCTGGTAAAATGGGAAGGCAAAACATCTGTCAGCACCTGTGCACAGGGACACTTGTATTTCTAGCTCTCATTTGGCTCACAAGTCGTTCTGAAGTGTGGAGTACCTTGAGGCTGCGCAGGAGAAGTCAGGGTATGTCTAGACTACATGACTCTGCCAACAGTGGCATGTAAATTAGACATACCAACATAGTCAATGAAGCGGAGATTTAAATATCCCCCACTTCATTAGAATAAAAATGTCTGACACATTGTGCCAGCTCAGCTGTTTGTCGGCACAATGCGGAAGTCAAGACGGGGATCGGTCGAAAAGGAAAGTCTTTGTGGACCAATTCTGTAAACCACGTTTCACGAGGCATAAGGGATCAGTCGACAAAGGCTTTCCTTGTCAACCGATCCCCGTCTTGACTGCCACGGTGTGCCGACAAACAGCTGAGCCGGCACAATGTGGTGACCATTTTTATTTTAATGAAGCGTTGGCAGAGGCATGTAATCTAGACATACCCTCAGAGTCCTGAGGGGAACAGGAATCCGGGTAGATTAAGAGCCACTGGTCCTCAGGGTCTTTGCCCGCTGAAAGGACTTTGGGGCAGGGGAGCAGATTTGGGGGTCCATGGCAGAGTTCACCCCAGAATGGAAGCTAGGAGGTTGACTCTCACTTGCTAATCTACGTGCTGGAGGAATCAGATGCTGCATCTCAGAACTGATACCTCACGACACCCCTCCACACCTGCGGCCCCCCTCCGGGGAGCTGTCCTCTCAAGGGCAGGGAGGAGCAGAGGGGGAGGTGGCTGAACAGGGTGGACAAGCTCAGGAAGGCGACTCTGCAAAGCCCCCGAGGTGGCCAGCTCCATGCAGGCCTCAAACAGCTCGGCCCAGCACTGGGCCCTCTCGTGACGCAGAGTCTGAGAGACCATCT